AACATGTCCTAGAGGAAACGTAACCAGTTTTTTTCTACAAAACAAAGCTGAACGTTTACAACTTAATTGCGCATTGTTCCCTTTACAAGAAAGCATACGCGACTATATTGGTTGATCGTATTGCAGGCAAGGGCGCAAATGAGAAAGCAAATGCTCTGCTAGTCTTCCTTGGTACTGTTTGAAAGGAGCGCCCATTAATTGACACGATGAACGAATTTTAGTCAGATTCCTGCGTTCCACGGAATAGTTATTCTATAATGTTCCTCGCCTTGAAGACTTTCATGTCGCAGAATCCTAAATATATTTTTCATGCCCCAACTTCGTTCCGATAACCGTCGCTTTCATTTTTTCTTGGCAGAAACCACTTTGATTAAACCATTCAAGTTTTCAAAAGATTGTCTGGCTACTTAGTAGGCAATTAGAAAATTTTGAATGTTGACTGCACAACTAGAGTTTCCAAACATCATTTCTGTGAAGTTTTATCAGGACTGTCCAAGCGACCTTTGAGAACAAATGAGCGCATATTAAACTTTTTTTCTGTTTCGTGTGTATGACAATAGTTTGCAACAAATTCCAACTTTTCATTAAAAAAAACCCACTTTGACACAATGTAAGGAACAGTCTTTTAAAGTTTCAAAATGATTCCCTGGGCAATTTATGAGAAAACCAAAGTCAACGAAATTTCACTTTTCCTCTATTTCCATGGCAAAAATGAACAATTTGAGAATTTTTAAAATGTTGAATGTACAACAAGATTTACTGATTATTATTTCTGCAAATTTTCATGATTGTTCAAGGAATCGGTCAAAACACTTCTGTGCAAAATTCGACAATTTTCGTCCGTTTCCATGGGTAATTAAGCTTTTTTTTTTTTTTTTTTTTTTTTTTTTTTTACAAACTTGCGCTGAGAAAATCAACAAATGTATTTTTATATTTTATTGATATTTGATAGAATGAAAAAGAATGTATCCAACTAGTAGTTCACAGTCGTATATATATCATGGATAAATACATTTATATTTGAATCTTCTACCACTGATATATTTTCTAATAAAAAAAAAATATGACACTTACAATGCGATATCAATCATCAATATATAATGAAAAGTAACTTTAAAATGTACAAGTAAATACATATAACTATTAATACAAGTGTACTGCTAGATATAAAATTTTTGCACCTTGTCATGTGCAGTCTCCTTGTTGATTTCCTTACGCTTAAACAAGTGCTCATGTATTAAACATATTTTTCGATATATATACCTGATAGAGGTAAAATTCAAGCGCTGAAATCTTTTCCTATCGCTAGCGTTTCCAAAATGCCTTTATCAAATGAAAACCTATTGTCTTGATGGGTTTCATTAACAGCTGTTCCATTGTAACTGCACGGCTGTAGCTTTCGCTTTATAAACTGAAATTGTTAATTCTAGAAAAATCCTAGATGTGTTTAAATATGAAAATATGATCTTTATAAATTCATTAGAAGTGCCCTATTAAGTACATGCTCTTTGTATCGTTACAAAATACATCGGGGTAAGATAGGCCTCCCCCATTGACTGGAATCCCAAGACCGAAACCCAATTTTACTTTCACATGTCATTTCTCGGAATTATAATCATATTTTTTAATTTACAAGTAACTGTTTTAACATTTTAATAATAATATAAATTTACATGTATTAACTTCTTTACACATATACTGAGAAGACATTCACAAGTGTAAAATGATATAAAATTTATTCATCATACTATATAGATAGATAGATAGATAGATAGATAGATAATCAAATATTAAATGTCAGTGGTCGGAATAAAATACTCAAAGAACAAAAACACGAAAACCTCAGTAAAACTTTAGGCCTTTTATTCTATCTTCGGAAGCTTTACAAAATAAACAACAATAGTAACATGGTAACGTTACACAAAGATACGCAGAATATATGACGTCCTACTAGTGAAATCAAATGTACTATGACGTCATAGTCAATTGCTCTTTGCGTTCAGGTAAAAAGTGCGGGAAATATTTAATAAAAATACAGATATACATATGCAAAATTATTAAATTGATTTATGTTAAATCAGATTGTTAAGCTTTGGTTTTAACTTACAAATAAAATGTTTTTCTTTTTGACGTCTAAAAATATCATTTCCTCCTGTTACTTTATAACAAGAGGCCCAAGGGCCTTAACGGTCACCTGAATACAACAATTTCGAGGATTCATAAACTGACAAATGAAGCTTTGTTGCAAAAAAGCAAGAAAAATAGTACGATTAAGATCAACAAAAAAATTGTTCTAGTATCTATCTATCTGTCCCTCATTTATCACTATTACCATGCAGACTTTTAATAAAATGTCTATTACCTCTCGCATTGACCTCACTTGGCCTTTGAAAAACATTATAAAAGATAAGTTATTTTTGTTTCATTTTTATTCATGTATTATTTCCAAGTCTACCTGATCATTTAGACTAAGAAAGTAGTTTTTGTATTATACAATAAATGTTCTTGCATAATTCTCTTATTCCATTAACCTTTCAAATACATCACTTACAGTGATTAATTATCAAAGGTGAATGGCAAAGGGGAATAACTTCACTCAGTAGAATACAAATTAATAGAGCCCTGGCCAGGACCAGAACACTTGACTTAATGGTCCAGATGTTCAAAATTCTGGTAAAAATACCCTTGCTTATTAAAACTTTTTACTCTGAAATTGCCTCCAATATGCCCAGAAGCAGAGATGATCTTCAAAGAAATAATGCATTTTCACTATTTAACACAGCCCTACCTAAACACCAGAACCCATGACCCAGGGTCATGAAATTTACAAATTTGGAAGAGGTACCCTCATCGTCATAACTATGCAATTACATGTAGCTGAAGATTTTCAAAGAATTCACCCATTTGCACTACATTATCAATAGAGCCCCCCCCCCCCCCCCCAGACACAACAGAACCCCTGGGACCACAACTTCTAAAAATTTTGTAAAAGCATCCTAAGCTTGCTCATCATAACTATACACTTGTTTCTTTGCTTCATAACCAGGGGTAGAAAAAATTTTTTTAAAGGAATAAGAATTTTCACTGTATAATCAATAGTCCCCCCCTTTTCAACAGGACCTCTGATCCTAGGGACATGAATTTCTCAATTTTGGAAGAGGTATTCTTGCTCATCATAACCATGCACTTCCTTTGTTTGAATAATACCCAGGAGTAGAGAAGAAGATTTTCAAAGAATTGAGGCATTTTCACTCTATAGTCAATAGAGCCCCGCCCTAACACCAAGACCCCGACCCAGGGGCCATGAAATTCACAATTTCTGAAGAGGCACTCTTGCTCATCATAACTATGTACTTAGTTAGTTTATTTAATACCCAGGAGCAGAGAAGATTTTCAAAGAAATAATGCATTTTCACTATATAATCAATACAGCCCCACCCTTACACGAGATCCCCTGAACCAGGGGCCATGAAATTCACAATTTTGGAAGATGCACTCTTCCTCATCATAACTATACACTTAGTTTATTTAATGCCCTGGAGCAGAGAAGAAGATTTTCAACGAATTGATGCATTTTCACTATATAATCAATAGAGCCCCGCCCTAACACCAAAACCCCAACCCAGGGGTCATGAAATTCACAATTTCTGAAGATGCACTCTTGCTCATCATAGCTATGTACTTAGTTTATTTAATACCCAGGAGCAGAGAAGATTTTCAAAGAAATCATGCACTTTCACTATATGATCTATATAGCCCCACCCTAGCACCAGAACTCCTGACCCTGGGGCCATGAATTTCACAATTTTGGTAGAGGGCCCAATGCTAATTACAATCATGTCAACAGTTTGACTGCTTGGTGCCCAGGAGTAAAGAAGAAGATTTTTAAAGATTGCATCAATTTTGGTGGTTTTAGCCACACCCCTCGGGCCTCAGGGGTGCAGGGACCATGAAATTCAAAAATTTAGTTCCCCTTCACCCATAGATGGAATATACCAAAATTGGTTGAAATTGGTTAAGCGGTTTTGGAGAAGAAGTTGAAAATGTTCAAAAGTTAACGCACGACGGACGACGCACGACCCCGGACGCAAAACGGATAGCAATAGGTAACCTGAGTGACTCAGGTGACCCAAAAAGCAAATCTTAAATTTCTTTTGTCTTCTCACGTCTAAATGTTCACTAATTGGTATCTGTCTGTATTCCGGTGTGTTGATATGTTGCTTATGAATACGTACCCGGGTACGAAGAATTTTACTGGTCTCAACAATATAATATTCACTACACCCTGGACAGGTTATAACGTATAAAACATTTTGTGTATCACACGACATATTGGCATTCACTTTAAATCTTCAGCCGTTAAAATTATAACAAGCTCCTTCAGTTAGATGTTCACAGGTTCCGCATCGAGGATTTTAACATTTGGTCACTGAATAGTTTTATTCAAAATTAGAGTGACAAAGTAGTCCTTTCAGGTTCTTTGGTTGACGTCTACTTAAGATAAATTGTATGTTTTCAGAAATTGGCTTTGTTGTTTGGTCCTCTCTGAGAATGGTGTTCAGTTGGTAAACAATGGACTTGATGTTCTGCAGGCATGTTTACGAAAATTTCCTAAGACTGTTCCTAAGAAATTTTCTAAGACCTATCTTAGGAAAATTTTAAGATCATCCTAAGATTTTCTTAAAGTGTTTTTCAAAGCTATCTTAAAAGTATCCTAAACAAAGATGTCTTAAATCATTACGACATAGAAATACGCAAAGTTTTAAACCATTGTCAGGAATCAGAGAGTAATCATTTTTGGCATGTAATGCTACACGTTATGTAGCTAATCATAATAAAAATATTTTAAAGAGTAAAAAATTTTAAAAAATGACTTTTTTTTAAATCTATAAATATAAATAATATGTTTTTTTTTTAAATAATCATCTTAATTCGACGATAATATTGGTTGTTATTAAAATCAAATAGAATTCTATTTGATCATTCAGAATTCCTGAACCATGAAAAGCGCGCCAATTTTCTCCGTGGAACTCTTATTTATTGAGAATTTCTGGTTCGACAAGAAAACACCCAGTAGGATAAGTCGAAAGAGGAGTCCTAATTTTTCTCAAATTGAAATGGAAATACTGCTTGATGAGGTGGAGAAAAACAGAGCCATTTTATTTTCAAAGTTTTCCAAAGTATTTACAAATTCTTCAAAGAAAAGAGCATGGGAGGCAATATGTGAGAAAATCAACAAGGCAAATAACATCGACCACTGTAGGACAGTAGTAGAAGTGAAGAAATGGTCCTCTTATATGAGTGAGATGAAAAAGAAGGCTGCGCAAAATCGCAGGGAAACAGGAAAAACTGGAGGAGGCCCCCCACCCCAGGGACTAAATCCTACGCAGGAAAAAATTGTGGGAATAATTGGTTGTACCCCAATTTCTGGCATAGAGGGCGGTATCGACACCTGCGAGGTCACCGGAAAAAAAACGGTACAGTAATGTGTAAACTCTCTCTCTCTCTTTCTCATGTTAAGTTTTATTTTGTTAACAGGTTACATCTTACTATATTTGTTGTGCATCCGCGTGAAGCACTGAATATCTAAAGAGTTCTAACCATGGGTATTTTTGGAAAGTAGATGCATGCAGGCACGTAACATCGGGGGTGGGGGTGGGGGGTCCAAACATAGCTTTTTTTTTTTTTTTACATTGTACCATTGAAAATGTTCATTGAAAGTCCGGTCCCCCTCCCTCCCCATTTTTTTGTGCAGTATAGTAAAAAAAAAAGGGTAATGCATAAGTGAATAAAAATTGACACTGAAAGAAGTTGGAACCTAACCCCCCCCCCCCCCCCCCATGAAAGAGGACTTTCGAGTTAGGAAAATTTTCTTTTTTTTCTTTGTCAAGTTTTTTTTCTGGTAAGTTGAATTCTTTTGCCCCCCCCCCCCTCCTCCCTTTCAAAAACGATGCTACGTTCTTTGCATGTGCAAATGCAGTACACGTATAACTGTGTAATAATTCAACATCTGTAGAAACCACATGATATAAATACAATTTTAAAAAATCCATGATTTTCTTTTTTTGTTTTTGTGTTTTAGATATATTGAGCGTTGAACCTGCATGTTCAGGTGACAGTACATGTGCTAGTACTGCGCCTCAATGTGATTTACTAGTTTTACGCGACGTGTCCGTTGAATCCGGACCCTCAAAGAAGAGAAAAAAAGGAAAAAGACAGTGAGGATTTTTATGAAAACAAGTTATTGAGCATTGAGGAGGAAAAGCTTTCAATCATGAGACAGATGCTGGAGATCGAAAAGGAACGTTTGGAGTTAGACAGACAGAGACTTACTATAGAGACACAGCGTCATCAAGTGTACTTAGCCAAGCATGGCGTTACTTTTGAAGGAAGTAATATATAATTTGTACAAATACCTACACGACAGTAAACGATTCCTTATGGTTCTTTAAACTTATTTTTGTAATTGATTTACTGGTACGTTCATCATTTGAAAGAAATACACACAGACTCAACCCTGAGAGAGAGAGAGAGAGAGAAGATATTTTGACTCGCATACTCCTATATCACATTGATAACAACAAGAAATACTAGTGCCTTTCTTTTAATTGTAATACATGTAATTAAATTATTCCTCTTGATGCGAGTCCATTGCAGAAGTGTCTGAGAGAGCCACGAATGACATCTCTGCATATGAAATTTAGGGGGCGGGGGGGGGGGGTTAGAGAAATATATAACTGTTTTAAATGAAGAGAAATAGTCTCAAATGAAAAGAAATATAATTTATTAGTCATAACTGTATTACATTTGCTTTGATAAATGCATCAACAACAAAAAAGAAATCTCTAGTGGTAATTTTTACAGCTGCTTCACCTTGAAAAACGTCCTGTGATAAGACGACCTCTGATTCGAGCACCGTCATTAACGGTCCCTGCATAACCAGTCCCTCGAATTCTTCCCGAAACTCGTGGATCTGGGTCTGGAAGGGATATACGGCGATAAATGCATGTTGTGCAACACTACACAGGCTACCACGATATCGCATGCTTTCTGGGGGGAATATAGAAGACTTCCACCGCTTGCGTCTAGACAGCAGAAGCGTGATTTTAAAATCCCAAATGATCTTTCAACAGAATTGCGGGTGCGGATATGGGCAGTGTTGTAACGCTCTTCTGCTTTTGTTGATGGATTATTTACAGGTGTAAGTAACCAAGGACGCAGTGGATAACCGCTGTCACCCAGTAACCATCCTTCTGCAATCCTTCCTGTTTCAAATAAACGATTCAAAGCAGAATTTGACCAAATAAACGCATCATGTGTTCCACCGGGCCATTTTGCCACAATGTTAATAAATTTTAAGCTGGCATCACAAACCCCTTGGACATTAATTGAATGGTAATTTTTGCGATTTATGTATAAATGTTCATCAACGCTTGGAGATTTAATCCTGATGTGTGTTCCATCAATACACCCAATGGTATTTGGCATATTTGCAATTAAACTGAATTCATTCATGTTTTTGGCCAATTCATTTGAAGTAATAGGCATTCTTATGTGTATATTGGCCACATTAACAAGACACTGGGTCATATCTTTCACTAGTTTGCACACACTTGGTCTTGAAATGTTATGCACATCACCAACAACTGCTTGGAAACGGCCAGTTGCATAAAATCGTAATGCAACCATTACCTGCAGTGAGACAGGTAATGCATGAGATCTCATAGTAGGACGTTGTAGTTCATTTTGAAATTGTTCACATAAATCATGGATTAAGGGTCTTGAAAGCCTATACCTTCTTATTATAGCTTCATCATCAAGGTAGTCAAGAGGGTTATCAATATCTCTAAATACTCTGTCACCTCTGATACGACGATTTCGTCGAGCCAGCAACAACATGGGCGCGGCCATTTTTGCTTAAGATAGACTTAAGATATGTCAAAAGCTGTCCTAACTTTAAGATAATTCTTAAGAATTTTCTTAAGTTAGGATACTTTCGAAATCCCCACTTAGACTTAAGAATTGTCCTAAGTATATCTTAAGACGTTTCTTAGTCCTAAGATAGCTTCGTAAACATGCCTGCTGGTTCTTAGGATTATGCGTATATACAAATGCAATTTTTATGTAATAAATGATTTTATGCTGACAACTGTACGCATTTTATTTTGTTACCCATGGGGAGCTTCAATTATTTAACCAAAGCTAATGCTCGTATGTTAGCCCTTAACAATACTCAATTTTGATTGGCTGAAAGATAGCGTCTCTCATTTGTGAAACATTATCCTGATAGAATCCTAGCATCACAATTTTGATTGGCTGAAAGATAGCGTCTCTCTTTTGTGAAACATTATCCTGATAGAATCCTAGCATCACAGAGAAAAAAAATTATGCGAAAGTTTTGTTTTAGCCGATTGATTACGGTTTAAAAGTTGCTGCATTGTTTGAAGAAATTGCAGTTTTACGTTATGTGAAGCACACAGGACTTCTACAGATAACAAGAAGCCCAAGGGCCTTGAATCGCTCTTCTGATAAACTGTACAACCTATCACTTCTATTTGATGCCTCTTAGTATCCTGTATATTTAGATAAATCCCTGAAATTCCAAAGGTAGGTCATCATGACCTACATTTTAGATGAAACACTCAGATCCAGGATGATGCTAAGCAAATTAGTGCCTGAGAGTAGGTCATGGTGAGTTGGTAATCTACTTACAACTTGTCATTCTCTGAAGACCCAAGATGCATCAACTAAATTTGATGATTCTAAGCCAATTAATACCTAAAATATTTTAAATATTATATCCATAAATTTTCATTAGTAGGTCACAGCTGCAGTGACCTACTTTTCAGATGACATACTTTGAGGACCCAAGATGCATCAACTGACAAAGTTTGATGATTCTAAGCCAATTAGTAACCGAAATATTTAATTATAATCATATGAATTGAAGAGTAGGTCACAGTGACCTACTTTTCAGTCGACCTACTCCAAGGTCCCAGGATACATCACCTGACAAATTTTGGTGATTCTAAGCCAATTAGTACCCGAAATATGTAATTATAGTCATATAAATTGAAAAGTAGGTCACGGTGACCTACTTTTCAGTTGACGTTTTTCGAAGACCAAAGATGCATCAACTTACAAAGTTTTATGATCATAGGCCTTAAAATGACCAAAATATTCCTCTAAAACGCTTTGAAATTGAATGCCTGCAAAGTTCAAAAAGTAGGTCACTGTGACCTACTTTTTAATAAATATGTTTTACGGCCCCAGGATGCATTATCTTACAAGATATGATGATTCTAAACCTCTCAGTATTCGAATTAATGACCTTAATTGCTTTGAAAAAGATTAGCCATAAAATTCAAAAAGTAGGTCAAGGTGACCTTCTTTTTGGTCGGCGTACTTTGATAATCAAAGATACATCAACTGACAAAGTTTAATGATCAAAGGCCTTAAATTTTTCAAAATATGCCTATGAATCATTTTGAAAAAGAATGGCCGCAAAATTTAAAAAGTAGGTCACCGTGACCTACTTTTGAGTCAACATGATATGAGGTCCTCAGATGCATCAACTGACAAGATGTGAAGATCCTAGTCTTTACAGTGAGCAAAATATCAACATTTTGATAAAATGTAATTTTTGGTCAAACTTGAAGTGACCTTGAGACCACGCCCTCTACCCCAGGGTAAATTCCCGTGGAAATTTTAATCTACAACATATCCTCAACCTTTTGTGTAAGTTTGGTGATAATCTGTCCAGTGGTTCTTAAGAAGAAGATTTTTTAGCAACCAGTGCTTTTGGTTTTATTTATCTAATTATCTCCCCTTGCTTAGGGGTCACAACCCTATTTTCAGTACAAACGGGAGGCTTTGGGCCAAGGATACCCTGTGACAAATTTGACAATAATTGGCTAAGGGGTTCTTGAGTTATAGCCCATATTCTAAAAAGTTTACGTAAACCGCACACCGCACAAATGGGCATAGCATTAGCTCTTTGAGCCTTTAGCTCAGAACTAAAAATGACTTAAAACTTTGGTTGTTTTGTTTCACGCACAGCCGAGCGTGACCACCATACTGAACTTTGTTTCAAACATGGCGAAAGACTTAGTTGTTGGCTACAGTTTTATACGTCGCCTTGAACGATCATTAGGGCAAATTGATGGATGTTTCAATAATTTGGGACTAGATTTATCTTTCTGCATTGTATATTTCTATGGAACTAGATGAAATCCTGCGCAAGCGCGGGTAATTGAATTTATACCACTACCGACAGAAAATATATTGCAGTTTCTACTGACAGCCTACAGGCTTATAGCAGGAAGAAATACTTTGTTCAAAATCCCGCATGTGCGTCTCCAACCCCCCAACCCACTTTGTAAAAACTTAAAAAAAATAACAATTTCATTAATTGATGTTTATTGTGAACTGATTGTTCAGTGTTTTACTGATTGTTTTTTTTTGGGGGGTGGGGGTGGGGGTGGGGTGGGTTTAAAAATTCACAGGTGCTCGGGTCTTGGTTTATAAATATGTATGTACCTTTTTGATATGTAAAAAATGCACTTGCATATCAATAAGGTACATACATATATATATAAACCAAGACACAAGTACCCGTGTAAAAATTAGCTTTTAACGCCCTTTGAATAGGCCGAGTATTTGATACTATTCAGAAAAAAAACTGAAATGTATTCATTAAAGCACAACATTTAATTGTATTTGAGCAATATCTTATTCATATATTTTCTCTTTTCATGTAAGCAATTTTATTACGAAGTAGAAATTGTACTTCGGGTTCGTTACCACGATGCTCTCACAGTGAGGAATATATTACACATTTTACCGATAAATTTATTAGGAAAACCTACTACATATATGTAATATTTAGTCTTTCGATATATAAATATATTCACAACTTATAGTGTTATCAATGATTTACTATTATTTTAATGACCATTCACACAATGACATCATGTTTTTTATGTTCCTGCAGCTGTAATCGTCTCGTTTTTCTTTTTAACATCGGGCTCGATGCTATATGATGTTCTAGAAGCTTCCGTCAATATTAAGATCGGTGAATGACAAAAATAATGTGCAAGTTTCGCTTTTTAATCAGTTATCACAACTTATTTCTTTTATGTCATTTAAATCAAGTTTTGATTGAATAATTCAGTGATGACGTTTTGTGAAATAAATAAACGATTGATTGTTGTCAGTTTCATTGAAAATTGCCAGAAAATTAGATCCGCCAACCGGGACGCCACCGTACTCACGTTTTTGCTATTTCATGGCTGTTTATAGAAAATAAAATTAGACTTTTAATTTAATGTACGATACTTACAATGCCAATGAAATCTAAGTATAGTTTACGGACATCATATTGTATCTAGTGTATTCTTAGAGGAGTAAGTAAAAACTGGTGCACCCGTTCCGGAGTTTATTTGCAAAATTTATAAGTATAGATGAACGGTGGACGCTTAGATACACTGGAAGTTGACTGTGTTTAATGAGAAGCTACGGGCATACAGACCGGACATTATTGTGATTCAGTTAGGTGGGAACGACATGTCTATTAAGGCAGTTAGACAGTCTTTGCAAGCAGACTAGTAGAATGGGTTACATCGTTGACTAAGAGATTTAACTTCATAAAAGAACATTGTGGTTTGTGAAGTCTTTGTTCGTTCTAAACCAAGACAGGTTAGTGTTGATATATACGAATCTAAGCACCGCATTGTGAATCAGATGTTAAAAGACATGTTGGAAGACCACCCTAACCTCACGTTTTGGCGTCATTTGTGGCTGATGCAAAGTTCCTTGGGCATTCTAAGTGGGGATGGTGTTCACCTTTCTGTGATAGAACTAAGAAGTTCTATAGGAGTCTTAGACTTGCTTTTCTTCATGTCATACGGTATTTCTTTGAATTGTAATTGCCATTAAGGGTTTCAACAAAACTAGTACAGTTAAAAAGGTGATGAATACAGTATAGCATTTGAATACATTGTGGTTTTTGAGTTTTCTCGGAAAAATATATATATATTTATATTTAAAAATAATGATAAATAAAAATAATTGCCTATTTTGGTTAATGTTATATTATGCAGATACTTGTTGCTCAGTCATTTTTTGCTGAGTAAATTGTGGCTGTCATTTGGTGCCCAGTAAATGGTGGTTCAGTCATTTGGTGCTGAGTAAATTGTTGCTCAGTCATTTTGTGATGAGTAATTGTGGCTCAGTCATTTGGTGCTGAGTAAATGGTGGCTCAGTCATTTGGTGCTGAGTTAATTGTGGCTCAGTCATTTTGTGCTCAGTAGATTGTTGTTCATTCCTTCTGAATAATTTTTATGCCTATTAAAGGTTTGTCGACTTTGTTTAGCATGCACCAGGCATGTTCAGTTACAGATATTTAATATTTAAAAATTATAAACAAAATTTAAAAATAAATAAATAAGCGTGCTATATATTAAGCATGTTGTATACAGTATGTGTATACTCTAAATTGTTAATATTAAAGCCTCATAAGGTTGTATTACTGTGTGAAGACAGATACATGCCAGGTTCATTTTAGAACAAAGGTTGCTGTCTGAAAATATATATAGTTATATAAATTTAGCAGGTGAAATTACCTGTACTCTAATAAATGGCATGCTCATATATGCATGTATGGTAGCATGCTAATATTTTAGCATGTGCTCAATAAACAATTTGTTATGGTAGATCTTAGTTATGGGTCCAAAGAAGAAGCAAGCAGGGACCGAGCCTCCAGCTAAGCGGGGAAGAACTGTACAAAGTGAAACTAACATTCGAAGTGCAAGTGACACTAACAGTAGTAAATTATTCAGTCAATAACCAAGAATGTAACAGAGAACATATTGGCAGAGTTGCAGAAGGTCAGGGTCCTTTCAACCCAGCATCCACAAGTGGAGGTAGCAGGAGGTCCAGAACATAACAAAAATCCAGCAGTTGAGAGTAATTCAAATGGACCGTCACAACAAACTGAGCAGATTCCTGCATC